GGTAACTAGTTTAGCTTCCCATCTAATATCCCTTTCGGAGTTAAATCAAAGTTAAAGACAAAATGTAACCACGGATAATATCTAATTACTAGCAGTGTGACGACACAATCACGCATACAAAACACTAGCTAGGCATCAGATACTATTTATTTTTCTATACGGAACTCAAATAAACGTGTTTTCGGTCGTGACCCCCTTTTAAAAAAAAATCCACGGATAATGTCTAATCACTAGTAGTGTAGCGACACAATCACGCATACAAAACACTAGTTAGTTTTCAGACAATATTTTCTTTTTTTTTAAACTTTAATCGAAGAACTATTTAAAGGAAAATAAAACTAATTTTATCACGGATAATACCTAATCACTAGCAGTGTGACGATACAATCACGCATACAAAACACTAGCTAGGCATCAGATACTATTTACTTTTCTATACGGAAATCAAAAAAATGTGTTTTCGGTCCGTGACCCCTTTTTAATAAAAAAAAAATTAAAAAAAATCCACGGATAATGTCTAATCACTAGTAGTGTAGCGACACAATCACGCATACAAAACACTAGTTAGTTTTCAGACAATATTTTTAATTATTGGGCTGTATTCATAAAACTAAAGGATTTCCTTGCAAGTATAAGGTTTTAAGTTGAAGAAAAAGGTAGGAGTATAAGCATTTCCTTTTCTTCGTATTCATAATGATTACCTTATACTTGCAAGGATATCCTCCAAGAATAAGTAAAAGATTGTGCGTGCCGCGACAGATTAAAACCTGTTTTCGATGGTTTGTTTATTTACGGTATTTCTTTCTTATCGCTGTTAATTTAATTTAATAAGTGCAGTATACTTCGATCAGAGAAGATGTATTCGTCAAGCAGCGATAGTGAAAGTACAGAAAAAGATAATGCTACAACCGAACTGCAGTTTATAGCAGATGAAATTGCCAATGCCCCGTAATTTTGGAAAAATCCCAAACACCAAAAATAAAAGCTAGAAAGGATGAGGCTATTAGAAATGTTACCAGGAAGTACGAGGTAACATTTGGTAAAGCACTGGATTCAAAAGGCTTTTTAAAGAAAATAAACAATATGAAAGGAAGATTAAAGAAAAAAACAAACTTGAATAAAACTGGAAATAAACCAATTAAACTGTTGGAATGGGAGAAAAAGTTATTGAAGGCTATGGAGGGCGACAGTAATCCTACAATTGGAAAAATCGGAGGCGCACTGCAAGTTGGTATTGAAGATGGATCTACTCAGCATAGAGTAAGTGAAGCTTCTACTACGCGAAAAGAGACTGAAACAGCCATCAAACCACAATCTAGTAGTACCAAGACTGTCGAATCTCCTCTGCCAACAAGAAAAAAAACACCAATAGAAAAGTACGAAACCAATGAAACGAAAGGACTCACAACCAAAGAGCTTCAACGGCTAGTTCTTTTAGAGCAGTATCAAACAACTAAAATTCAAAGAGAATACTATGAAAAAAAGTTGCAGAGGAGGACGCGTGAGGCACCAGAAACAAATATTGTTAACGAGGGGGAGTTATCATACTACAATATGTAAACAATTTACCAAATTTTCCCGTACAACCGTATTATATCGATAATATTATAATATGTTGTTATAATAATACTTAATATTATGTTAAGTAACTTATTATTATTTTTGTAGGATATCTAGTTTCTTTAAAAAATCCAGTATACTTAGATCATAAGGATTTAAAATGTAAAAGAATGGTTAATTTATTATTATTAAAAAATTTGCAATAAAATAAAAATAAAAAGTTTGCGTTATTAAATAAACTTAATAATTATTTGAATTTTGTTTTTTAAAAACCAAAATGATCTAATGGCGTAAATAATAAAACTAAATTAAATTTGAACTTTTATTTTATACAGTACCTAAATTTAATTGTCAAAGTTGTTTATTACAATGCTCAAATTTCTTCTCACTTCTTGTCCCCGTTGGCGAAGAGGTAGCTCAACGTCGCCATTAATATCATTGTCATCTTCTTCTGGCACTCCTTCTTCAGGTGCTTCAAAATCGATGTCTTTCAAAGTTTTTGCCACATTATGAAGCACAATACAGGCAACAATTATTTTTGGCACATTCTCCAATTTCACCCGGCAAACATGTTGCAAAATAGGAAATCGACGTTTCAGTTGACCAAAACAACGTTCAATTATCACTCTCTCTTTTTTCAAAAGTTATTATAATTTAGTTCAGCACCTAGAGCGAGATTTCTGAATGGAGTCATGAGCCACGGCTCTATACCGTATCCATCATCAGCAAGTAGCACGATGTTGGTTTTATTTTGTAAATGAACCCTTATTTGTGAATTTCTCCATATTCTTGAATCGTGGACCGATCCAGGCCAACTAACGTCTATACTAGTGAACATTTCTCTTGCATTACAAGTGGCTTGCACATTCAGTGTTGGATGACCTTTTCGGTTGACATACTCATCACCATGGCGATTTGGTTTTAGAATTCCTACGTGGGTACAGTCAACTGCGCCAATTGCTGTGGGAAACCTATACTTGTTTTGCCATAACTGTTTCGCTATCATAAATTCATTGTTGGTAGTCGGAAACTTTATCCAGTCATTTGATTGCGCCACTATGCTGTCAATTACGGTAGTTACTGTACGAGATACTGTAGCTTGACTCACACCCAGTTCTTGAACAATGCCTTTCTGATATCCAGGGTCACTGAGATAGCGTAAACATGTCTGCATTTTAAGGACGGATGATAACGCACCTCCTCGAGTTTCAGCATTTCTTCCCAAAAATCTGTTAGCAAGCCATTGCACATTTCCCTCTTCAAACCGGTATAATTCTTTGTAATCACGAACAGGTGTTGATAAACGCTGCTTGTAGTGTTTAATCTCTCTCAATTCCACAATATCTGCCATCGCTACAACTGATCACTACACGACTGATGTGAGTCTGCTACTGACCACACTCGAAATTATTGAAGGATATCCTTTTTAGTTAGAGTAAAAGGTAACGTTTATGAATAACCAAATACTTTTTTGTGAAGGATTTGCTCATACTCTATAAGTATAAGGTTTTACTCGGAATATTATGAATGCGAGATGAAGGATTTCCTTTATATTCTCCAAGTATAAGCATAACCTTCTTTTTATGAATACGGCCCATTAAATTGATTACGAGTACCGCCCTGTATTTAATTTAAAGGAATGAAAATTGAAATAAAAGAATCAACCACTGTAAAAAAAAGTTAACCAAGACCTGGCAGCAGTTAAATCGTTAAATCTATTTATTTTATTAAATAATTTAATCGTATCCAAAATCGGAAAATAAAATAAAAAAAATCAATAATTCAGTCGGGAAATGAAAATAAATCTTTCTAAAAATTTAAAGATTTTTAACAGAGCAAAATGCTTTAATATAAATCAGTTCGGTATTTCAATTTCAAATTTAACAGAAAATAAAGCAGGTATAAATCGGAATGTATCTTTATTTATTTCCAAAAACAACGCGATAAGAAATCAGTTTTTTTTTTACCTGTACTCGTTGAACGGATTTTGTTTGTTTTATCGGAGGCGGCTGGTACTGTTAAGAATTGCTGCTTACTAGCTGAAGCGTCGGCGGAAAGATAATGAGATCTGACCGGGGCAGCTTGTTTTACAGGAAATTTTCGCCACTCGTCGTGCAAACTCGATTATTAATTGTAGATTGAAGTGGTCAATCGCAGGCTACCGTCCGCTGACTTATAAAAAATTATGATGGGAAGATTCAATATATAGTAAACGTTTGAAACCCCGAATTTTTGACGTTAAAGCTAAATGATGAATATAAAAAATAAAAATAATAATTCGGTTTTCCGATAAATTGTATGTCTTTTCGAATAAAATTAGTTTATTAAAACCAAACGGTAAATGATAATAATTAAATAAAATGTTAAATTCGGTTTTCCTACAGATCCTATATTTCTCAAATTAATAAAAAAAAGTAACTTCGTTACAACATGTAGATACTTTCATTTTTTTTATTTTTTTGGAGTCAACATGAAGGTCCGTTATTTTAGACATTTGTTTAAGATCCCCAGTGTGTGCGTCAATATAATATGCATAAAACAAATGTTCCCATTTTCCATGCAAAGTTGTTCCATCTTCCTGCTCCCAATAGAGATCTTTTTGTAGCCAATTGTTTCGTAATCCTTTAACAAGATGGGGAGGATCATAAATTGGAATAATTTCATGCCCATCTATATTAAATATACGATTAATAAATCTCTTTCTTTCTCTGGTGTAATTTTGTTTAGTTTACCTAACTAAATAGTTTATGGCAGCACAATTGTTTCCACCTTGGTCACAGACACTAGCTACTATAGTAAATCCAGCTTTGTGGACTTCCCTTACTAATAATTGTATTGTCCTTACCAAATCAATGGTAGTAGTCCTCTTATAAAAAAACACTGGAATGATCACAAATTTTTGTGGTTCTTTTATCACCAAAATCTTCAAAACCTTCAAAACTATCTTCACTCATGTTGAAATGAACATTTGAAGATAAAGCAATTTCATCAAATGAAAGGACACATATTTTATTAATACGGCTCATTCTTTCACCAATCATTTTTAAATTAGAAAATATTGCTTCTTTAATTCCTGGCTTTATTTTGATTCTATTTAATAAAGCCTGCAATGTTTTTTTGCTTGGCAATGCAAAAAGTTGTAGAATTTTGTATCCTGATGGTCCAGTCTGTCTATGCAATATTATAGCCAACAGTTTATCTTTAATGCTGTACCTACGACCTCTTGCTTTTTTCTTGCCTTGTTTCAGTTGTAGGTAGTTTATATTATCTATTAAATGCATTAAAGTATTTCAATAATGTTTATTAATTATAATAACTACAAAAACATAAAGAACAATAGAATAAAAACATAAAGAAAAATATTCTGAACTATGAACTATGACAATTTACAGTCTAACGAACAAAAATTGCCTCGAAACGGGTATTTTATTCTGTAGTTATTAATCATAATTCGTAGGAGAAAAATTTTCATAATATGATGAAGTTGATGATTGTGTGGATACACAAGCTGATGACGGTGGACGAGATGAAGTTGCTGAATGTAGAGACGGTTGATTTTCAAATTGATGGTATTGTGATTGTACTTGAGGATGAATGTTGCTGTGTTGAGAATATGTAGGAAATTGTTGAGTATTTATTTGATTATCCTTTGGTAAAATATATTTGCTTTCAATATCGGATACCATAAAGAATATTTTATTTTTTACGAGGTGTATGTCGGTAGGTGAAAATTTTCTTACTGTTGCTTTAATACTATCAAAAAAATTATCTAATTCATCTCTTTCAGTATTTGGTATTCTTTCTTCATTCAGTAAATACATGAGCGTACCACTAGTAGTCTTGTGCGTTTAATAGGATTTAGTATTCTTTTTTATTATGTTTCTTCGTTTGGACTGTACTTCTGTCACATCGAACTTTTTCGGTAGTTCTACTAGCATTGGTTGACGCTGACTACAAATTTATCGCCGTAAACGTGGGTTCTTGCGGAAAAAATAGTGATGGTGGTATTTTTGCGAATTCTAGATTGGGAAAACAATTAGAAAATGGCTCCCTACATATACCTCCTAATAAAGCATTACCAGAAACAGATATTCAAGCACCTTTTGTCATTTTGGGAGATTCAGCCTTTCCCCTCAAAACTTACGTTTTGAGACCATTTTCCCAGATCCAAGCCTTAAATGATGTCGAGAAAAGAATATTTAACTATCGACATTGTAGTACAAGACGTGTAGTTGAAAATGCATTTGGCATTTTAGCACAGGCTTTCGTATTTACTTAAGAAAAATTAATTAAAAACCTGGTTACGTCGAAAAAAAATTTTATGACAACATGCATTCTACATAATTATTTACGTAGTAACAATGTAAACTTGCAAACTGAGAACACATCTGTAGAAAATAACGACGGTTCGAGTATACTAAGAAATCTGCCAGGACAAGGTGGTAATGCACAGCAAGAAGCTTTTACTATCAGGGAAATATTTACCAGATATTTTAATTCACACTACGGATCTGTGCCTTGGCAATACGAAAAATATGAACACATACAATATTATTATTATTATTATTATTATAGTTATACATTGAGAAAGAAAAAAGAAAAGAATCAAGTAAATATATAGAAATTATACAGGGTGGCGCAAAATGAACGTTATGATTTAAATGCTTTGTAATTTTTTTATTTTTAAATAAATTTTCAACATTGTTCTATGAAAATGTAGCCTATAAATGGGAAATAATTTTAGCCTAAGCGTGAAAAACTACGTCTCGCAAAGCCCATTTTCTGCTTCACAAAAGTAGTATGTAAAGTGCCGCTCCTGTCTCAAGTTCGATCTCAAATCGAGCACTTACAGTTTTAGTATATAAAACAGAATTTGGAAAAATCCTGGTATCGAAAACGAAGGTTGAGAGTTGAAAGTATATAAAGTGCCGCTCCTGGCTGAAGTTGGTTATTCTGTACAAACATCAGAAAGAGGGAGAGGGAGAAAGAGAATCTATGAAGAGAGAAATAATAAGAGAGAAGATCACAAATCCTGCACATATATTTTCGGTATAAAAGATCTAATCTAATTTAGTACACAAACACCTATCAATATGCAACGCAAAGATCAAAAAATTTCTAATCTGAAAATTATATATTTTACTATCACTTTTAGAATTTAAAAATCATATTTGATTAATAAAGTTCTAATAATTTTTAATTAAAAATCATTCTTATCTATAATAAAAAAAAAGTTTTACCTTAATTTTTATGTCTTCTTAACATAAAATAAACCCTCCCCTCTACATTTTTTAACAAGACTTGGGACTTGCTGCGGTAGTATTAAAGGGTTTATTTATTCCCATAATGAATGAAAAATTTCTGTCCGGTAGCCATCCAGAACAAATAAAATTGGATAAGGATATTTTCAACATAGGTCCATATACTCATCATCGTTATCCATCTGGTTTAAATATTTATTATATTCCTTCATTTCATTATTTAAACTTTTTATCTCTTGTTCCAATAATTTAATTTCACCATCAAGTTTTTTCTTCGATAAATTTTTTGTTTTTGTAGTGTAACAGGTTATTAAAACGCACTACACCCGAATAAATCACCTTTATTAATTAATTGAAATAATTATAACGCCAATCGCCAAAATTAAATAATAATATAACACACGCCGAATTATGGTTCTTACTGCCAAACTAGAATCAATTCAACTGATCCACGCTGTCTCTCGCCGCTTTGCTAGTACCGTCGTTCGCCTAACTCCGATACCTGCGCCCTCTCACGCCGCTTCGATGCGTTGGGAACTTGGAGTCTCGACAGTGGCGTAACAGTAGATTAATTTTAGCCTTAATATTTTTTCTTAAACGTGCTGCTTTCAACCCCACATCTTCAACACTAGGATATCCTTGAAGGTTGCGGTAGTAATTTAATTCTTGCTTTAATTTATCTACTTCACTTATTTCACTTTGTTCATTTACACTTGTACTCGCCATAGTTGATAACTGATATTTAAATCTATACATCTCTACACGACCACGTTTTATACAATCTAAAGTTCTAGAAGTATCTAACCTACGTCAGTTATAATAATTATTCAAACGAGTAAAATGTTTTAAAGTGCATTCAATAACCCGGGTTACTAAACGTACTTGGGTTACAAAACGCACTAAGATAGCCTTGAATTAATTTATGATGCACAATTAAAATGTAAAATAGATAATATTAAATTGTTTATACCGTTTCAATGAATAATCAATAATAGTAAGAGAGCAAATGTATTTTTTTTTGTGAAATGTAGGTATATAAAAACTAATTTTTAAGTTCTGCTAAAAAATCGTCATCGATATACTGATACAATTCAACGTTCTCATTATCCAAATAATGTTTATGTGCCCTCATGAAATCTATGGATAATTTCTGATACTTGCATATATATTCCCAATCTAAGTTTTCCTTAAACTCATCAATAAATTTTTCACTCAAAACTTGATATGTAGAAGCAGCATTCCAATTAACTCGATTTAAATAAGTTCTCATAAAATGTTTTTGGTAACGACAAATTAAATCCGAATTTACTTCTTGTTTGAAGAAAATTATAAACTCCTCAGTTATAACAGGAGATTTAGAGATCTCACTCCATATTTTTTGATAATCCATTTATAAAGAAAAAAAAATTTATAAACTACTTTTAACTCTAAGATTGCAGTAATATCAGCTCCATTAAAATCAATTAATTCATCGTTTTCATCACATATTCTGAGTTCAATTTTGTAAATATTATACTGAATTTGATAATATACAGGGGTAGGTTCATAAATTATCAAATTGTTAAAATTATAATTCAGTTTAAAACAACAGGTAATGTCAGTTTCTCTATGAATAAACTTACCACCTTCTACTAACATTCCATTAGCCAAATTACAATGAATATTGAATGTTTCAACAGGAATTAATTTTCTTCGAACTATTTAATAAATTTGATAAACTATCAGAGGATTCAAGGATTTTATAAGAATTAATTTCAATTTTATTCCCATTTTGAATCAAATCAAATCCGTATTTATTTAAATATGTTATAAGTAATGTGTAATAATAAGTATATTGTCCTTCTTGAATAGCTAAATAAGTTCCATTATAATAAATTTTATTATTTTAAATTCCAAATATTATCCATATCTCAAAGTGGTCCGAAGTAGATTAAAGGGAAGTAAAAAGCTCAAAGTCTGTCGACCACATAAATTTAATAGGTTGCAAGCTCTTTCGACCTAAAAGGTCATCATCAGGCAAAAAAATTTTTGTAAGTGAGTAGGTACAAGGTACAATCTGCAATAATAATTTAAGGTATAACAAAACGTTTTTTATAGAAATGCTAGGTGCCTTACCACTATGTGTCCACAGAAAACTAAGTATGTTGAATTAAAATGTAAAATTTAAGTAAATTGTAAAATGTAAAAATTGTAAAAAATGGCACACACTGCCTCCCTCATTCGACGTTGGATCCAGTTCTAGTTTTGAATTTCGCCTGCCTCCATCTGATGAAGGTGGTTTCGAATAAGATACATTTTGAAGTTCCACATGTGTGCTTAAGGCACCATGTGGAAAGTGTTACTTTTTGGAAAGGTGAAATACAGCTACTCCCCCTATCCCCAGTACAAAAGGGGTAGACGGAGTCCCGCTCGTGTACACTCTTAAGCCTAAGCTTAAGGGGTATCATTAAATATTAACTTTTTTGGAAAAATTCACTTATGACACTTTCGTCATCCAACGATGAAGTTAAATGAGACATTTGACAACTGACATATGATGGAAGACACGTAGTTACAATGATAATAATAATTAAATTTGACATTAGTTAAATTGAATATGTTAAATTAGTTTTGTGACAAATTTTATAATATAAATTTAAACAATTTGATTTTGGTGTCTTGACAGGTTGGAGAGGCCACAAATAAGCTCTGCTGGTGTTATGAAGTTAGAGTGAGATTTGATTTTTTTTAAAAAAGAATAATTTGACATTAGATTGAGGTTAAGGAAATTTATAATAAATTAGAATTTTTTTAAAAAAGGGGGCTATTATACAGTATGGTTCAAATGAAAGGAATAAATTCATTATAATGGAAGTAGCTGGTTTTTCGAAAAAATGCTCGGACAGGTCAATTTTGTTTACTTAAAGCGCAATTTTTTAAATAAAATTCAATTTTCCCCCACTTCCCATTTTTGGGCAGTGACGTCATTGACAATTTTTTTAAATAGCAACCTCAATTTTTTTTTCTTGATTTTGATAGATCTTGCAATTTCCTACTCGGAAACATAATATTTGAAATATCTGACAACAATTTTTTTTTGAAAAAAAGTCATTTCAAGATCAGATACATAAATTTTATGTTATTTTGAAACACAATAAATTAATAAAAGATAATTATTTGTAATTAAATGCTTAATCTAACAAAATAATAATAAAAATAATAATAAAAATAATAATAAAAAGAATTTGTGAAATTGTCATTAAATTCGTTTTATTATTATTATTATTATTTTTTTAAATTAAGCACTTAATTACAAATAATTATCTTTTATTAATTTATTGTGTTTCAAAATAACATAAAATTTATGTATCTGATCTTGAAATGACTTTTTTTCAAAAAAAATTGTTATGTCAGATATTTCAAATATTACGTTTCCGAGTAGGAAATTGCAAGTTCTATCAAAATCAAGAAAAAAAAATTGGGGTTGCTATTTAAAAAAATTGTCAATGACGTCACTGCCCAAAAATGGGAAGTGGGGGAAAATTGAATTTTATTTAAAAAATTGCGCTTTAAGTAAACAA